AGTTACCCCTTTGTTTTTAAGTTTTTTTTTTCCCGCCTTTTTGTATCACGGACGAGCGAAGAGAAGAGAAGAAGACAACAAGCTGCCCGGCACAGACAGCGGACACATGAGGACGGAGAGCAAAGATTCACAATGACAGCCACGCTCCATCTCACATGTATCTATATATGCACAAAAAAGTTAGATCGAAAAACCATAGCGATATCCAAAACTCCCAAGGAACAAGGTACAATCACGCGGTAAATCCCCGACGCGTTTCGTCCACCCCCGCACGTGGACGCATCAGGGGGAAGAGTCCTAGAAGATTCAAGATATCGCTATCCAGGACGCCGTACCGTATGCCTTGCCCCCAATTCGACTATCCGACCCCTACCCTTATCGAAGTCATCAGACAACGGGCATCGAAACTACCAGTTCCATTGTTCCATCGTGTACCCAGCGCAGCACAACCAGTGAAACAGCGAAGGCAAGCGCCGATGGATTTGATGAATGCGTCGGCCTAATGAATCCTATCTGCAAGGAGAACTGCCATGTCAACCTTAGAACCCCAAAAAACCCGTTGGTGCGTGAATCGGAACGATACCGGAGAGATGGTGAAGTACCCTGCCGCTCGGTCAGCACACGAGTACCTGCACAATCAAACACACACAACACAACAGAAAAACAGGTAGGCACGAAGGATTCCCTTCTCACCACGCAAAGGGAAGTAGTACCCGGACGGACCGCTTAGGCAACAGAACATCACCGCACGTCCAAACACCATGATTCCAGCTAGCATCACCCCTGATGGGTCAGGCTCTGGCACCAAAGCCAAGTGGGGGCTCCGGCCACGACAGCACAGCAACCGACCACACGTTCACGAACCAAAGATGAGAGGAGCATGCCGAGCAGTGGAGCAGACTCAGCAGAGTAAATAGTCTGAAGCCGGTGTCGAAAAGGTACTGCGCGAGTCGATGCAGTCAGATCCAACGAGGTACCAATCACAGTCCCGTCGGCAGCAAACCAAATACAACCCCAAAAAAACGTCCAAAACCTTAAACAAAACAGCACAGGGCCCTGCCAGCAGGTAAAGGGTCCCATCAACCGTCCAGAGCAGGGTGTGACGAACCACTTTCTGTAACGCGCGACTTTCTGCGCGGTTGCAATGAGGGGTCCTAAGTTGAGAAGGTTGGGCGAATTACGGGAGGTCGGGATCGGTGGGAAATTGCATCAGTGTCCTTGCTTTTTCGTCTTTTTCGTCGCTTCTTTTCGAATGGCTGGGTTCGGAGCTGGGTGTGTCCTGGGACGGCCGGTTGATTGATTGGTTGGCCGGAGGGCTGGCTCGCCGCCGCGCGCGCGATTAATAAATGTTGACGTCGTTTCTTTTGTTTCAGTTCCAAACTTTTGGGCGCGGACATCGCGTGGGAATTTGCTTCGTTCTTTTTGAATTTTCCTTTTAAATCTTTTTCAAATTTTGTAGGCGCCTTTAATCATGTGTGTAACTGTGATTTTGGGCGGGCACCATTGTAACTGTATCCTTCTTCTTACGCTTCGTCTTTCCCGCCCTTCTTCTCTTTCTTTTGCTGCGTTTTTTGTAGCCGCGGTCTGCATGATCGGATCGATGCGTGGAGAGCGGCTACGTCCCCCACGCCGCGATTAGACCATGCAGAAGTAGGCAGTCCCTACCCCTTCCCTTCTTCTAAGTCCTTCTAATTCCGTGTTCTTCGCACATGCATGCACGCTATAAATTCCGGTTGCGCGATTAGTTAACTCTCTTAACCAGCTGTTGGAAGCTCGGGGTTGCGCGATCAGGAAGGATCGGCACACGAGCGAAGTAAGAGGTGAGTAGAGCAGGCGTCGGGCGACCTGACGAGCTGGTGCCAAACGCGCGGGGTCGACGTGGGCCACGACGGACTGTGGGCGGGGGCGAACCTGACGGGTGCGGGAGGACTAAGCGGGGTGACGACTAAATCCTTACCAACCCGTCCCACGAGCACGGGCTCCCATGACGCCGCCTGATCTCTATCTATTTGATCTAGCCCATCATCTCGCAGGAGCATGGCTGGCCACGCTTAGAGCGCCGCAATACGATGATAACGAAGCACAGATAAACATTCCTGCTCGGTTAGGAGGAAACGCTCATCACTGGTTTAGTACCTATGTATGGGTTGATCTCCCGACCTTCGAACGGGATTTCCTGAATCGGTTTGATTATGTCCACCCAGAACAAGCACTTTACATGATCAAAGACCGAGTACAAAAACCTCTCGAGTCTATCGCAGAGTATCGAAACCGGTTCTACCGAATGTTTGTAAAGACTGAGCGAGGCGAACAAGTCGGGAGAGATTTGTTTATAGATGGCCTTCGCAGCCGAACGATAAGGGCTAAATTGCGAAAACAATTTTCCTCCATCACTCACACGCTGCAACAGATCATGGCTGCTGCGGAAGAAATGGAACGGAAGTTCGCGGTGAACTTCATGGAAGGAGAAGATTATTCCACGGAAGGAGATTCGTCCGAACTTGCGAGGACGAGAGCTGAGCTGGCCGCGTTACAAAATAAGTTTGAAAACATGGGATTTGTGTCAGGACCCGTCACCTATCTGGAGCAGATAGGTCCCAAGCGACTAACCACAAGTGAGATTCCGAGCGTCCCTGTTCCTGTAATACTAGCACCTGTAAGGGCATTACCCCCGCCACCGGTCGAGAACCCTGTAAGATCGAGTGAGTCCGCAACCATTTTTGAGCTCACTAAAACGCTAATTAGCTTAATCCAGGAAAGCAAAAAGGAACAGCGGGAGCATAATGCTCGAATAGAAGCTATGATGAGAAACATACAGCCCATTGCAGTGCGTGCCCCTCCGGTTCAACAAGGGCTGGCCCCTGCGCCGGTTCTCGGAGGAGCCGCAAACAATATGAACGTCTGTTATGCATGTCATCAACCAGGGCATCTAGCCCGTGATTGCCCCCACCGGCCTCCGCAACAACGAGTCGGGGTCGCGCCGATGACGGCGGCCCCCATCGCTAACGGACCAGTACGAGTAGGAGCTTTGATGGAAGAAGTAGAGGGTGGGGGAAGTGCGTTAGCTACCACAGAAGAAGCCGCTTAACTCATCCCGTTAGATCAGTATGTATCGCTGGGGTATCCCAGGCTTGGAATGATCGGAACAATCCGACTGGCCCCAGAACAGAAAGAAGTGGCGGAGTGGCGACCTTCTCCAGGTGAGATGGAGTTGGGAGGACCCACCTTCATCACTGGGGAAATCGATGTGCTTAACATCGTTCGAGCCTTGGACCATCGGATTCCACTTCCGATTGGCCACTTGCTCTTGATCTCGGAACAAGCCAATGAGCGAATGCTACAACACTGTAAGGCGAACCGAAAATGATTCGCCCTGACCCGAGCAACGAACGTGAAGAAGGGACTTACACCAGAGGAAAATACGGCAGGAACTTCGGATCCAATTCGGGTGGGGTTAATCCAGAAAGACGATCATTTCCTACGGGTAAAACCCATCCCGTGGAAATCGGTAGAATCGATATCGAAATTTGGGGAATTCCGTACAATGCAATCATCGATTCGGGAGCTGCGGTTTTTGCTATCTTAGTGAGAGTGGTTGAGAGGGCAGGTAGGAAAAATGATCTGATCATGCTTTCCGAGAAAGATCAGCTCGTTTCGGCCGACGAAGAAAATATTAAAACAATGGGAAGGATGACCAACGTCGCTTTCCGATTAGGAAAGGTGCCCACACTGGGAGATGTCGTCGTGCTAGATGTAAATACCTACGACGTCCTTTTTGGACTTCCCGCTCTTGTGGCATTACGAGCGAACCTGGATTTCGAGCGAAGGTCAATCATCCTCTGAAATACAGGAGGAAAGCCGTATGTTGTGCCTATGAGACTAACCCTTCGTACCACCATCAACGCAGTCCCACGGGTCTCGCCGATGATGGCAGGGACTCTCCGTATGATCTCCTGGGAAGAATCCGCGGATGGGAAGTCATCAACAAATGAGGCGGACAGCAGTGACGAAAGTGACCCAGAGATCCTGAAGCTAGTGCGACAGCGCGTTTTTTATCCGCCACCCAGAACGATCGCAAGAACGATGCATCTAACCAGTCGAAACATTCAAAGGGCTAAGGCAATGATTTTAGGTGAACCCCTCGTACAAATTTCGAGGATGGTCGATTATCTGGAACCCCCTCAAACCCTGTACGAAGGAATCACCCCGCTTCTCGCCAGATACAGCGACAAAAAGCATTACTGCGACATTACGTATCTACCAAGGTCCCTCTTGACACCTGCAAAAGAAGTGCGACTGTTGCGCTTGGGGGTAGAAGCCAGTTCTTTGGAACCCCCTGCGCTCCTCAAAGCTGACTCAGACGAACTTGGAGTAAAGATCGCAACTAAAACCGTACCATGGCAGGGTGTCTGTGACGGAATCACCCCAGAAGGACACGTGGCCATTCGGGAAGAAGACGCCCAGATGATGGTCACGGTGTTCTCCTGGCGATCGGATCATTCCTTCATTTCTGCACCCCCACCCGATGTGCCAAAACCTGCACGCACGAAACAGATAGACGTACGGATCTGGGACCAGCTATTTGAGTTACACGTGCCACAGTACGTACCCGATGAGATTCATCGATTGATTGCGGACATTTTGACGGAATATCGAGGAGCGATTAGCGTGACAGACACTGACATTGGTCTGTCGTTAGTTATTCAACATGGAATACAGACTGGGAATCATTCCCCGATCCAATACTCCCTGATAGAACGCAAAAAGACTCTCGAACGAATTCGGGAATTCGAAGCCAGCAGGTGGATTGAACCCGTCACCGGACCATGGTCATTTCCCGTAGTGCTAGTGCCAAAGAAAAACAGATCAATTCGCATATGCATCGATTATCGCAAGTTGAATGAAATCACGATTAAAGATGTGTATCCCCTCCCCCGGATTGATGATTTGTTGGATGCGATTGGTTGCGCTAATTATTTCAGCAAGTTTGATATTCGGCATGGCTTCCATCACATTCTGGTGAAGGAGGAAGATTGGCCCAAGACGACCTTTGTACTGTTTGAGGACACGTGGCAAAGGGTTCGATGTCTGATGGGGATTTGCAACGCGCTTGCCACGTTTCAACGAGCGATAAACATGACATTCCAGAACTTCGTCAACAAGACGCGGCTAACTCAGGGAATGATCAACTTTTGCGTGATCGTGTACATGGACGATATCCTTGTCTACTTGGAGACCTATCACGGACACGCGCAACACATTGAGTGGACATTGGGAGCACTGAGAGACGCTGGGTTCAAGATCGCGCTCGAGAAGAGCGAGTTTTTCCTCTCGGAAATTTCGTTCTTGGGCTACGTCGTGACACGTGGAGGACTGCAGCCGGACTCAAGAAAGGTTGCGGCGGTAAGAGAAGCCCCAGTTCCCACATCGCTGACGCAGGTTCGAGCCTTCTTGGGGTTGGCATCGTACTATCGCTGCTTCATCAAGGGTTTCGCCGCGATTGCACGACCACTAACGAACCTGCTACGGAAGGACCAGCCTCTCAGCTGGGACGTGGAGTGCCAACAGGCTTTCGCAACCCTCAAGGACGCTCTGGCGACGGCTCCTATTTTGATTCGACCGGACCCCTCTAAGCAGTTCATTCTCATCACGGACTGGCAACCGGAAGCTATCTCCGCTATTCTAGCGCAGAAGGGGAACGATGGTCGTGAACACGTCATCGAGTACGCACGGTACCGGGCGAGCGGAGGAATGACTCGGCGCCTCAAGGCGAATGCTATGCAGTAGTCTGGGGAATCCAGCACTTCCATCCGTATCTCTACGGACAGAAGTTTCGCCTCGTAACAGATCATGAACCTTTGTTGGCATTGAAAAAGCTCACTAATTACACAGGCATGATCGGCCGTTGGGCGGTGCGACTACAAGAATACGACTTCGATATCGTTCATCGAAAGACATAGCGACATGGCAACGCGGATGGACTGACACGCCTGCATCGACCTGCTAAAGTACCAAAGAGCGAGGAAATTACACCGTGGAAGGAGCCGGACTTGACAAACGAGCCTAAGTACGGACAAGTGGCAGTTCTCCCACGTGGCAAGAAGCAGAACGGTGGCAATGGGTGATGGAGGTAACCCCCTACCCCTCTTTCTCCCCTCTCCTCTTCGTCTCTCCTCTCCCTGCCTGACAAATTTTGCTATTTTTGCGAAGCTATCTCTCGCGTGTACTCGATCTCCATGCGTCATAACGGGGAAGGGTATGTGGAATGGATAGATTGTCGACAGTGTGTCGCACCAGCCCATGGCTCGTGCATCCAATACAGAAACGACAGTAAACCGTGGTTGTGCCCCTTGTGTCGGACTGACAAGATTCCGACCGAGGCTCGCTTTTTGGATGCCACGTCAGAAGGGTTGGAAAAGACCCGGAGGTTTAGAAGGGCCGAGGTATGGACTGATATTGCCTTCAAGTTGATTGCCACCCTAGTTGGCAACCCCCTCCAGGATTTCACCAAGGAAGATCGAAGGAGGGCTAACGAGAGGGCTCGAGATTACAGATGGACAGAGGGTAGATTAGAAAAACGGAAAACAGACGGCAGTGGGATTTGGATGGTTGTACCGCATCCGTTCATGAGGTACGATTGGGTTAAGACGGCATATGAAGAAACTGCGGCTCATTTCACCGTACGGATCACGGAGTCGGCTATCGACAAAAATGAGTGGTACTGGTCCAATATCCGCGACGATGTGAAGTTTGTCGTCGCCAACTGTCACGTCTGCGCCGCTGATAAAGCCCCGATTTAGCCGCCAAGATCGATAGTGCCACTGTAGTTGAACGACCATTTCAAACAGTCAGCATGGATACTACCGACATAGGTGTGCCCCCTGGTCCTAATAGTTGTGAGTATTCAGTCCTATTGGTATTTGTCGATCACTTTTCAAAATGGGCCTACCCTTGTCGCACGCGACAAGCCTCCGAAATCGCGCGGTACGTCAACCGTTTTCTTGGGATGCACCAGGATACGGAGGAGATCCTGACCGATAACGGGGCTGAATTCAGAGGAGAGGTGCTGAGGAATCTGGTTATACACGGCGTCGCCATTCAGAATACTGCGCCCCACATGTCACAATCCAATGGACTGGTAGAAAACGCGAATAGGGTGATAAAGACGGCGCTGCGACGAAACATCGCGGCGCGGGATTCAAGGACCTGGTCCGATATCGTCGACCACATCCTGGCGGTCCATCGTGGAACGCCTCACGAATCGACGGGGCTAAGCCCCTTCCAATTAAGGACCAATAGCGTCGCTTGCGTATCGATACCAATCCTCCCTGATGAATCCACGTTGAATCGACAGCCCACCAGGGCCACGGCTCGAGACAAGGCCAAGCGGCACCTAGAGTTAATGGAACGATCTCTCCCCAAGCTAGCCCGAAAATGCCAGAAAATGACCAAATTGGCCCATGGCCGACAGGTCCGAAGCTACGAGGCCCGAAACGGAAACGCAGGTCCACGACCCCAGTACAAATTGGGGGACATCGTGCAGGTGAGGAAATGTGCTCGCCAGGGTAATCTAGCGCCACGATTCTTCGGGCGATTCCGCGTAATCAAACTCGGACCGAACGGCGTGAATACCGTGCGGCTTGCGCCTGAGATCTCCGGCAGCCGATCGGCTCGCCCGATCATCCGCCACGTGTCCTACCTTCGTCCCCTTCCTCTTTCCCCATCTTCGCACTCACCTGACTCCTCCTCCATTGCGGAAGAGGGCAATGACTACCTATCTCCTGTCTCTCCATCTCCTTCCTGTTCTTTCTCTATTACTTCGTCACCATCGCCATGAACTTTGCAACAGAGCAAGTGATCGGCGTGCGGATACTTACTCCGCGAGGGCGAATCAGTGTTATACGGCATGCGCAGCGGCCCTATCTCTGCTCTGATCTCCTCTGGTTCGCAGCCTTCTTCAGCACGGCGGCGATCTACGCGGCGACGGAGTTCCGATTCACGGAGGAGGCAACTGCGCGCGTTCTGGCCAAGATCTCGGCCTTCCGACGGCTATTCCCCCCCGGGATTAGCCATATCGCCGTCATCGTCGTCTTTACAGAGGATATCACAACGATCCCACCGGCGATTGACTCCGACATCTATCGGACGTTGCGCGCCTGGGCCGGGGAAGTGCGGGCAGCGTGGACAGATCTCCTTGCTCGACGAGGAGATACCATCGTGCCGGCGCATGACACAGACTTCCAGCTCCGCTCGTCTCGAGGGTCGCCAGCGATCGTGCTTCCTGAGCTTCGTCCCTTCGCGTCGCCCCAATGAGTTATCGTCTCGTCTCCTATTTCGGCCTCCCCTCCAACATCCCCACCCTTTGGCAGTCTGCGCGGGCCCCTACTCTCTCCTACCGTATTAAGGAGAACAGTTCGTCGCTATTGAGCGAAGAGAAGTGGGGCGCATGGTGGGAGGACTACATCGAGCTCGCTTTCGGTCTATTGGAGATAGAGTTTCGCTGGTCAGAAGTGGCCCCGTTCGGAAAAGGACCAGAACACCCAGAGGACAGCATGGAGCTTCTGATCATCCAAGCCTGGAGAACGGCGGAGCAGGGTGATCTGCTGGGAATTGTATTCGGGAAGGTGGAGGAGGGCAATCTCACCTTGATCACGGACGATTTGCTGGTGTTTCTGACTCAACTGGTGGATGATCTGCCCCTAGACATCTTGTCACGCAGTGACGAGCAGCCTGGCACCCACGTGCTGTCTCGAACGCTCGAGCCACACCTTGCGTGGTCCACGTGTACGAAGATTGACGAGGACAACTGTCTCTATCCCTCCCAGGCGCTTTACTTGGAGATCGACGTTACCGATCTCACATTTTGGGACCCGATCGCGAGGAGAAACGCGGCGCAGGACGAGGAGATAGAGGGAGCAGAGGAAGAGGAGGAAGAAGAGGAGCCATCGGGTAAAGAACGGGACGATCCAGACTACGTCCCGGAAAGAGAAACGAGGATAGCTAGCGGATCGGGTCAGCCGAGTAAAAAGAACGAAGAGGAGGAAGAGCAGAGGAAGCGGAAGCGCCAGGAGACCGCGGAGGGAAAGCGACCCACGACAAACGTTTCTCCTGTTGATCCATCGATCGAGGATCCGTGGCGTGATTCGGAGCCACCAGAAGAAAAAGGACGATGGAACCGCAGCAGAGGGATCGCGGAGACGAAGAAGAAGAAGTGAATCACCAGCTTCCTCCGGCTCCCCGTCCCGATCCTCCATTCGTCTACATCAAAATCTCGGCGTTCGGGCTTCGTCCCCGGTAGTTCTCTCGCCGACTCCGTGACTACCTCATGCTTACCCGTCTTCCCGATAGACCCCCGTTCCCCGATGGTTGGTGTCCTTTCCCCCATCACCTTTTCTACCATCTCTACGCTACCCGCCTTCTAGTCTCCGTTTATCCGCATGCCACCACCCACTCTGTGGTTGATTCCTTTCTCCTTCATGTGCTCCTGTTTAGCGCAGACTGGCGGGAATATAACCACGTAGAAATATACTGTATTATATCTGGAACTATTCCCGCCTGCGAAAACTACGAAGATTTTCGCGCCGCCCTGCAACGGACCCTTTCTACCATTTACCCCGACTACATCGCCGCTTTTCGCCATCTCCATGAGGTCCCTCGCTTCCCCCGCATCCATCGCTCCTTCCACTACGCTACCCTTCCCGATTTCGCCTCTCCCGCCATCAATCGATTCATGCCCCCTCTCCCCCTGAACCATCCGCCACCTCCACCCTCGATGATTCGACTGCCATTCCCGGGGAACGTCTAGGGTCTACCCTCTTTTTTTTTACACGGATGCATGGTTGGCTGCCACGTGTTAGTCTACAGCGGGTGTGACCCCCCCCCCTCCTTGGATTGTCAATAGCCCTTCTTGAGGAAATAGTAGTAGAGCCTGCATGCCACGTTGGAAGAGGTCAACACTCACTTGAACGGTAGGTGGCATAAAAAGAAGAGCTCCGCGTGTCGGTCGATTAGAGAAATCGACACGTGTCAACAAGCAAGCAAGAGTTTGCTAATACTGGAACCCCCTGGGCGTCACATATGTGACGAACCACTTTCTGTAACGCGCAACTTTCTGCACGGTTGCAATGAGGGGTCCTAAGTTGGGAAGGTTGGGAGATTGGGATCGGTGGGAAATTGCATCAGTGTCCTTGATTTTTCGTCTTTTTCGTCGCTTCTTTTCGAATGGCTGGGTTCGGAGCTGGGTGTGTCCTGGGACGGCCAATTGATTGATTGGTTGGCCGGAGAGCTGCGGCGGCGCGCGATTAATAAATGTTGACGTCATTTCTTTTGTTTCGGTTCAAACTTTTGGGCGCGGACATCGCGCGGGAATTTGCTTCGTTCTTTTTGAATTTTCCTTTTAAATCTTTTTTGAGTTTTGTCTCGGAATTTCGAACTTTTTCTTCTGGCATTTGTGCTTTTTGCTTCTTCGCATTAGATAGGAATTTAGGAATTTCGTAATTAGGATTTTCCTTGCCGCGCAACACTTTTTGTCTACGCGCTTCTTCATGCGGCTGCAATGGAACTCTGATTAGTAGGCGCCTTTAATCGTGTGTGTAACTGTGATTTTGGGCGGGCGCCATTGTAACTGTATCCTTCTTCTTGCGCTTCGTCTTTCCCACCCTTCTTCTCTTTCTTTTGCTGCGTTTTTTTGTAGCCGAGGTCTCTCTTAACCAGTTGTTGGAAGCTCGGGGTTGCGCGATCAGGAAGGGTCGGCACACGAGCGAAGTAAGAGGTGAGTAGAGCAGGAGTCGGGCGACCCAACGAGCTGGTGCCAAACGCGCGGAGTTGATGTGGGCCACGACGGACTGTGGGCAGGGGCAAACCTGACGGGTGCAGGAGGACTAAGCGGGGTGACGGCTTCGTGGGTTGGTGCGCGACGATGGACTGTGCGCATCGGAGAAGAAGAGAGAGGGAGAGAGAGTTGAGGTTGATGAACGTGGAGTTGCTGTTTCTTTATCTTTTCTCCCTCCTATCTCGTGTATATAAATTTTGATTTCGGCTCTGGGCGATCTGCCCGATTTCTATTTTTCAGAATTTGGACTTGGGTTTTTGCTCACATTTGTCCTTGCGATTTTTCCCACCTCTGAGGCACTGTGTGTATGATTGTTGAATGTATGAATGTATGGATGCCATGGTTGATTGCTTATCCTTCTGCCGGATCCTTGTCCTTGCTTTTGGTTGTCGCATTTGATGCACTCGTAAGTAGAATAGGAATTTTGCGCAATCGATAATCCCGTCCTTGTCTTCGCGTGTCTTTTGATTGAGATGATTGTGATTGTTGCATCTTGCATGCTCAAAACAGCCCGGAGTAATTAGACGATCGGATGCCGAGTCCGGCGAACGCCGCGCGAAGACACGTGTAAAACGCGATCTGAGTTGCACGCTTACACGTATCCCCGGGCGACGATTCGTCAATCCCAACGGAACCATTGATCACCAACGCATTGTCTGACTAAGCAGGGCCAACCCGAGGTCCGCAACGGCACAGTCGCCCCGTACGAACACGTGTAAGCCAGGCTTAATTCGCAAGGTTTGTGCGGGCTCGCACGTGGCAATCGCAATCGCCACGGACCCGCCCTTAGGCAACTCGTAACACTGCAATGACACAATGACGCGATCCTGGAATTTCGACTCATCATACGACCCGGATTACTTCACCCCTTGGATAAACGAACTCCTTTGACAGAGATACCCCTGCCTAACCGAGAACCGACTGTGTCCTCGGGAATTTCACTGCGCCACCACTAGCGACCCCCGGTGCTCTGATTTCCCTTCTCCGGACCATACCTACTATTTCATCCACCCCGGATTTGTCGTTATCACCACCAGTTTCCCTCCCTTTCGCCTTCTTCTTCCGTATCATCAACTCAGCGTCGTCCGGTGGCCGGCCATAGCTCCATACTGGCCTAGCACACCCTGCGAAAACTGCCGACGACGCGGCAATCAGAGGACCCCGGACTTCCGGAGGCCCAACCAGAACGCGCAACGACCAACGCCACGTGGCAACTTCCGACGGCCTGACTCATCGGAACCGCCTCCTCCCCGGAGGGATTTCCCCGCGAATCGCCGTCCCCGGAACCAGTGGCTCGCCCGGCCTTAAGCAACCCACGCGCGTTCGTTATCGCCAAATTGCACCCGTGCCCCCGAAAGACCCTGCCACAAGGAGATCTCAATTCTGACCTGGGACTCCACTTTTCCAAAAATTCTTGGCACACCCTTTTCGCACTTCCAGGCCCACATCCTACTCCGATCAGGAAGTCGCGCTGGCCGTGAGGTTGGGCGTCACAAGGGTACCATAACACAAAAGAAACCGCATCGGCATTCTACCGGCGGCGGGTGCACAGTGGTCACGAAAACTCGTAGGCAGCTGAGCCGCGGCTCTAAATCAGAAGTTGGGTACAGTCCACAGAGCACCACTGGGCTTGAAAGGAATACGGGTTATAAGGGCCTGTTTGGCAATCAGAGTCAAGCCCCCGATGAGACCCGGCCAGGTAAGTATTGACTTGAGTATTCGAGTATTTGAGGATTTGAGGATTTCAGGATTTGTTACTATTTGAGAATTTGAGGATCTGAGTTTTTTTTTTTTGAGGATCTGAGAATTTGATGATAGAGCGGCATCCAGCGGCCTAGCTCAGTTGGTAAGGTACGCAAGTGGCATTCAGGAGGTCTTGGGTTCAATCCCCATTGGCCTTATGTACCTTCCTGGGCATGCTTGGGGCCCACCACCTAGAGATAGCCCGTTGGTCCCCCCAGTTGGCATTAAAAAGCAGGCTCTGGTGATGTTCATAGGGGGAGGGGTAATCGGGGAGGCACAGCGACTGGCCACTCAGATGATGCTCGGTCGCTCTGCCACCGGCTGTCCCCTGGCCGGTGCCCCCCGTTGGGGGTTCCCTGAAGGCTATCGGACCACCCTAAGGCTATCAGGCCACCGTTGTCAGATTAGACACAAGATTGAATTTACCTGGGCTGGTTAGTCCAATGATAATACCTCAAGGCAGTCGCCCTCTTAAAAAAAAAAAAAAAAAAAAAAAAAAAAAATGATAGAGCGGCCAGAAGCCTTTATGGCTCGATGTTTTTTTCTTTTTCTTTTTTTCTTTTTCTGTATGGCCTGATACTACTCTCCCCTCCCTTTATGGCTCGATTGCTTCTTTTTTCATTTTTACTTTTTTTTCTTTATGGCCTGATTGAATTTATTAAGGTTATTTATTTCTTTGCTGGATGGTTGATTTTTTTTTGGGGGTAATAGGGCACAGTCACCAAAGCAGTTTGTAAATGCATTTCGAACTGCCTTTTCGGAGTCCTTTTCTTTTTGGGGTAACTAGGGCACAGTCACCAAAGCAGTTTGTAAATGCATTTCGAACTGCCTTTTCGGAGTCCAGTACGGTCCCTAAGTTTCAACTGCAGTCGAAACTCTTGACATGCAGAAAAGTCCAGTACGGTCCCTAAGTTTCAACTGCAGTCGAAACTCTTGACATGCAGAAAAGTCGCAAGGCCGAGTTCGCAACTGCAGTCCAGTCCGGCATGTGGC